CGCGGGGGGGACCCCCCCACCTGCCGGTCCACCCCAGGGCAGGGCAGTGGGGCTGCCGGTCCACCCCAGGGCAGGGCAGTGGGGCTGCCCGTCCACCGCAGGGCAGGGCAGTGGCGGGGCGAAAGTCGCCAGGGCCGATGGGGAAGGCTCTGTTCTGTGTAAGGACGATTCCCAGGGCCATCCTCCAGCTAATTAGGGAAACTGGTTCATGGCTGGGTTGCAGGAGAGCCCGCCCTGTTCTTAAATGCCACGTGCCTCCTCTGCCCAGGCCCAACACCCATCCTCTGCTGTCCTCCGGCCGGGCGGCCCTGGGGGCTAATCTGATCACCCAGAGTCCTCCCAAACCAGGGTGAGGCAAAGTCCTAACTTCACACTGCTGTAAGAGAAGGGAGTCAAGAAAATAAATGCCCGGAATGCATATCCTCAGGTGACTCCCCGAAGGTTCTAGAAGCCAGCTGAGACTCGCTCACTCGCCCACCCCATCTGTATCTATAATGAGATCTGCTGTTCGGAATGATTACTCTGTGGTCCGACAAGGTCTCTTACCACAAACACCGCGGGACGTTCACCGGACAGGGCCCGGCGAGCTGACCGGGGGACGTTCACCGGTCAGGGCCCGGCGAGCTGACCACGGGACGTTCACCGGACAGGGCCCGGCGAGCTGACCGGGGCCGCACCACTGAAGGCCTGAGCTGAGCCTCGTTAGCCAGGAGACCGCACTGCACAGGCCTCCCATCCCCCGATCTACCTGCTGCTCGGCAGGTGGTAACTGACTCCATGAGCACACGTAACCGAGCAAAGGCCTGGACTCGGGCACACCGCGGTGCGAGGGCTCTTTGTCACCTTGGGGACCGTGCAAAGGACACGGCGGTGATGAGGATGCAGGGAGGACACAGTGATAAGGACACAGGTCACCCACAGAGAGCAGGGGTGCTCAGACACCCCGACTTTGATTACCAGCCCTGTCCTTATCCCTGGTGTCTGCAGCCGGCCATCTCCTCTGGTCCGTATCTCCCCAGCCCGCTGCCCCTGGAGCCCGGGTCTGTGTTTTCAGGCTCTGCTCCCACTCCCTGCCGGCCTGGCTCCTGTCCGGGAGCCACTGTGCCCGCTGCAGCACCTGCCAGGCTGCTGTCTGCCCCACCGCATTCTGCCAGCAGCCTTCAGAATGGGGGTCTGGCCATCTCCCTGGGTACGTGCAGACACAAAAGATGGTTCTACTTTGGGCTTCTGTGCCTAGCCCTCGCTTCACACGGGAGGGATACTTTCCGTTTTTAGAGACTCCGTGGTGGGGGCTGGTAGACGCTGGCTGATGTCAGGGAGAGGTGGGCAGCTGGGAGGGCCTGGGGAGAGGGGGTGCAGGCAAGCTCTCGTGCTGGGGGCCATGGGGAGGCCCTGACCCGCAGACACCTCACCTGCAGGCAGCGGGAAGGAGGCCTCCGTCCCGTGGGCTCCAGCTATCGGGGAGGCCCCATGTTTGTCCCCACTTGTTGGAGATGTCTACTCATTCTCTGTGTTCTTTTACAGAAATAATGTTCATTTGGGTGAAATACAACAACACATGTTTCTCAACTTCTCTGTTTCCTAATTTAGTATTAAAAGTGCAAACAGATGAATGCAAACCCTCTTTTTAGTAATAAACTCCTTAGCCACACCTAGGGGACAAAGCATGCAGGAAAGCTGTGCGCTGCTGCAGCTGGATGGTGGACGTGGGCCCACCGTGGACAGTGGACGTGGACCCACCATGCGTGGATGGTGGATGTTGTGGACGGTGGACGTGGGCCCACTGTGGGTGGTAGATGTGGGCTCACCGTGGATGGTGGATGTTGTGGGCGGTGGACGTGGGTTCTCTGTGGACGGTGGATGTGGGCTCACCGTGGATGTGGGCTCACTGTGGATGGTGGACGTGGGCCCACCGTGGGCGGTGGACGTAGGCTCACCGTGGGCGGTGGATGTGGGCTCACCGTGTGGTGACAATGGCAACATTGTAACCTTTCAGGTTTCCAGTCTGGCCCACACAGTTGGAGAGCTTCCTGGGGTTACAGGGAGTCAGACACCCTGGACAGGCCTCAGCAAAAGGCAGAGGGAGCTAGCTGAGGCTGGTTCTGCCCTCCCACCTTTACGTGGAGACAGAATGGCCCTCCCTTCTGGAGGGTGCAGCACAAAAGCACCGTCCTGGGGACAGCGGCCTTCGCCAGATACGGAATTTGCCGGGACTTTGTGGACGTCCCAGACTCCAGAACTAGGAGAAATTTCTGTTCTTTGTAAGTTACCCGGCCTCAAGCATTTCATCACAGCAGCACAGACTGAGCTGTACACTAAAAATAAGAAAGAAGAGCCTAACTCTGAAAGTACAATGTGAGGTGGACAGGTAAGATAAGGGGGGTTGCAAAGAAACTCCAATGTAAAATGAAAACTGGATTCAGAAACGAAGACAAACTGAAAGCCTGTCCCAGACGGCAGAGGAAGGCGGCACGGACGTGCAGGGGGAGAAGACGGGCTCCCTCACATCTGGGAGTGCGCGGGCTCTAGGGAGAAGCCGGAGGGGATAAAGACACGGCACCAGAGACAGACAGAGGCCTCTCTGGGCAAGAGAGACCCGAACACACAGATGGAAAGGGTTTTCCACAGCCCCCAAATTACTAAAACACATGCATGTGCGTGCACATACACATACACACATGTACCTGATGAAACCTTTGAGTCACAAGGAAAAGAAAGTCTAAGACAATTCAGTGATTCACAACAGGTTTAGGAAAGGGTAAAGTGTAGGCTGATATAAAATTCCTCCTCTGCTCACTCTTCCTCTCTCTGGCAAGTACACATGCCTTATAGCAAAACAAAACAAAACACACCAAAACCCTCCTCTGCCCCAGTCTACTTTTATGTAACATTTTAATACATTTTGAACAATATTTTCTTGTCTAAAATATATCTTCTAATTGAATATGCCCTACATTGACTTAGGAAGGCAACTCATAATTAAAAGCTCAACATATAAAAAAGGAGAATTTGTAAAATTAAATCAACCATAGCTAGTTCTCAACTACTATCAACTGATGATGAATTCGAATTAAATAAAAAAATAAAAACAAACACAGAATGTACTTTTATATGGCCATGAACACTGAGTACATTTTAAGAAGATTAAAAACAAAAGGTAGGCCACATCCCACATGACAAAATCGGAAGACAGTATTTAAGAACGGTGCATAAGATTGTACTGCGTTTCTGGGCAGGACAATAAGCATGACAGACCTCTCAGAAGAATTCCCAGCGCGGGAAGAGCTGAGTGTGCGACATGTAAGTTCCGTGAGGACAGGGGCCACGCCCGCCTAGTCACGTATTTTTAGCACTTTGCAAAGTGCTCCACACATGGGAAATATTTAATGTTTGTCAAAGAAATAAATTTAATCCTGACAGAGGAACCAACAAGGCACCAGCAGATGGCGTAATGGCTATGTCGCTGGACTCCCATGTAGATGACTGCGGTTCGTGTCCCGGACCTGGTGGCTTAAACTCATACCGGGTGCGTGTGCGTGCATGCCCAAGATCCCGAGAGGAGAAGGGATTGCGGCGTGACCATCCCCCGGGGGGGG